AATAAAATAAATTATAATACCCTGAAAAAATAACATAATAAAAACAAAATGTACTTTTAAAGTGTAAAATAACAATTCAAAATCACTTCGGTAATTGTTTTACTACCTGTCAGCCTGGTGCTGCTTTATGGTGGGAATAACTGAAGGTGGGGACAAAACAAAACCCCACATTATTGTCTGTTCAAAGTTAAGAGTCCACAGCTCCAATTTTACTGACTGTAACCAAAACAACGTGATCATTGCACTTAATCTTCACTCAAACAAGTGTGTAAACAGATTAAACATCACTCTAATAACAAGAGCAAAAAATAAATAGTAAGAGTTCAGTTATTTAAATTGATAGCTACCTTTCTTACTGCTGCATTTTCTGAGCATCATGTGGAGATTAGCCTCTCGCTCCTGCAGGGAGCAGTTTTTATCACTGCTCTCATCATGTCGCTCATATTCCAAAACAAAAGCTGCGCTCTCCTTTCTTCTGTCCATCAATCCCAGAGCTAATCCATGGGATGTCAAAACTGTAAGCGTGCTGTCCTCGCTTCTGCCAGTTTAGAACCACCGACCGGACCAGAGAGGAGGTTCCGAAACAGTGCGGCTATGTGTGGTCACTGGACTGAGGCTGAACGAACCGAGCCGAACCGCAAAGCAGCTACCAGGGTGGAGAGTAGTTGTCGCTCCGGTTTAAAATGTACACGGTTTTGTTCCCCCTCGGACAACTTGTGCGTGACAACTTTGCACTTAGCTTTAACTCTGTTTCTGATGAAAATAGAAAGTTCTGCCGACATTCTTGCTAACTTATTAGTTGTGATCACGTGAGCTCTACAAGCCGAATCCAAGCGCTGCTGGGTAGAAACACTGCAGCGGAGTCGGTGAACTGCTGGAACGGACTGCTAATATCGGAGCGCTTATATCGGACATTTTTTATGCAGGCCGATAAAATCCGATACTCATTTTTTGGCTGATATCGGACCGATATCCGATATCGATATCGGATTGGGACACCCCTACTGTCAACGCTCTCTGGTTTCATTTAAAAGAGTCAATTGTCAGATATTGTCCAAGATTAACCTTCAGGGTGGCTATAGCTTGCTAGCAGCCTTGCACCGATGACCTACCCACGTCATCATTTACCCAGAATGCTTTGCATGTAAATAAAATGGCTCAGTCCGTGTTAAAATATATGTTTTAAAATTTAAAAAACTAAACAGCCTACAGTATTTTTACAGTCTTTATTTTACAATTAAAAGATATGTTTATCAAATAAAGTGTAATATATTTTTAAACTTTTAGTTTAAAAATTATAAAAACTGAACATCCTACAGTATTTTTACAGTCTTTATTTTACAATTAAAAGATATGTTTATCAAATAAAGTCTAATGTTACAACTAATCTGAGATCCCTTTAAGAAAAACCCGAAAGAGAAGACAAAAAAGTCAATTTAGAACAGTATTTAAAACTTAAACAGGAAACACTTAAATGTTTTTTTAAGCTTGAATTATTCAGAAGCATTTTTTTATTGTGATGACAGAGATGATCCCAAAAACATAAAGATCCATTGTTAAATATGTGTTAGTAGTTGTGTTGCAGGTATTTTCTTCAACTGTTCCAGTTTTGATCTGCTGGATTTCTGCTCAGTACATCTGAAAACCCAGTGATGTTACTGTGACACGTTTTCTTGAATTCATTCTGAAACAGGCTGAAATTGAAAAGCTTATCTCATTGCTGTGTTATCAGCAGGGATGGTTCTGCCTGTCTGTTTGCCCTGAGGCTGGTTGGCATCAGAGGAGTTTGAACTTTGATTGTCTGCTCATCACAGATTTGTGTTAGTTCCTGCTTAGCAAGCAACCATTAACTCAGTTTCCACCCCCTTTTCATCTGCTTTGAATCTATTAAGTTTAAAAACCCTCTTACAGATTCTCATTCTGAGTTGGTCAAACAGAAGTTGGGCTTTCAATAGGAGTGACAAAACTACAGCATGGAAAGACAAACTGTACAGGAGTCACTGATAATGACAAGAAAGCTCCTTACAATAAGTGTTCACCCCAAGTCCAGCACCCGGAGACTGAAGAAGACGCCAAAGACTTAAAAAAAAGGGGGATTCAGAGGACTAGTGAGCATCAGAGTACATACAGGATGAAGCAAGGTCTTGGAGTACATCAGGAGGAAAGCCTCTGATGATGAACTGATGAGTGAAAGTCTCGGGCAGCAGAAACCCAAATGTAGAAGAGGAGGAACAAACCATCATGGGACAAAAGCCAATTTACAGCGTGTACCACCAGCAGATAGAAGAAGTGTCTCATAACAAATCCCACCAGTGGTTATAGAGGACTGAACTGAAGGAGAGCACAGACACTAATCATGACAGTACTGGACCGGGGTCTACTGTACCGGAAAAGACCCAAGACACAGGCTATGCAAAGAGTCTGAGACAGTTCAACACATAACAGCAGGGTGTAAGATCCAGACTGGCAAAGCATACATGGAGCACCATGACCAAGTGTATGGAATAAAATACAGGAAACTGTGCTGAGTACAGACTGGAGGGTTCAGGGTCAAAGTTGGAGACCCCACCAAGAGTGGTAGATAAAGACAGGACTAAGAGACTGGTATCCAGATCCAGACTGAAAACAGGTGATGACCAACCACCTGGACATTGTGGTCAACAAGCTACAGATGAAGGCAGTGATGACAGAAGTGGAGACTCAAAGTGAGCCCGAGAAGGTTGAGAAATAAAGATTGAATACAGAAGTTGTGAAGAGTCAAAGCATCAGTGGTCACTGGAACATTTGATGCTGTGACCCCCAAAGTGGAAGCGTGGCTTCAACAGATCCCAGGAGGAACCTCAGAGATCTTTGAACACCGACTAAACTCTAAATCAGACACCCTGCTTTCTTAAATTATATCTACGCTTCAAGCAATCTCCTTCTAGCTCTTATGTTCCTGCTTGTATGTAGTGTCTTCACATCAGACAGGCATCAACTCTTGGAGTTTTTTAAAGGGATCCACGATCAGTTGTAACATTAAACTTTATTTGATAAACATTTATTTTAACTTTAAAATAAAGACTGTAAAAATACTGTAGTCTGTTTAGTTTTGTAAAATTTTTCAAATATATTTTAACACGGACGGAGCCATTTTATTTACACGCAAAGCATTCTGGGTAAATGATGACATCAACTAGGTCCTCGATGTGAGGCTGCTAGCGAGCTATATCCACCCTGAAGGTTAATCTTGGACAATATCTGACGATCGACTCTTTTAAATGAAACCAGAGAGCGTTGACAGAGAGGAGAAGGTAGAAACGACTCAGCCTGTAACTGAAAATATGGATGGAGGACAACAGAGCTGCTTCATGGAAGAAAAACCTCAACTGAGCCTGTTAGCCTTTGCGCTAGCGCCCACGCTATATTGCCTTATATGTATTAGCTCGGGGCTAGTGCGACAAACAAGCTATACTGAGGTCCTCCATTCATATTTTCAGTTGCAGGCTGAGACATTTTTGCGTTCCCCTCTCTGTCATGTGGATGGAGGACCTCAGTGACGAGAGGAGAATGTGTAGCGCTGAGCTAATACGTATATACAGTATGGTGATAGCATCGGGGCTAATGCTAAAGCTAACAGTTTAAGCTAAGGTTCTTCCTTGAAGCAGCTCTGTTGTCCTCCATCTACATTTTCAGTTACAGGCTGAGTCATTTCTACCTTCTCCTCTCTGTCAACGCTCTCTGGTTTCATTTAAAAGAGTCGATCATCAGATATTGTCCAAGATYAACCTTCAGGGTGGATATAGCTCGCTAGCAGCATCACATCGACGACCTAGTTGATGTCATCATTTACCCAGAATGCTTTGCATGTAAATAAAATGGCACCGTCCGTGTAATATATTTTAAAACTTTTAGTTTAAAAATTATAAAAACTGAACATCCTACAGTATTTTCACAGTCTTAATTTTACAATTGAAGTATATGTTTACCAAATAAAGTCTAATGTTACAACTAATCGGGGATCTCTTTAAATCGCATCTTAAAAACACCTATTTTCAAAAGCTTTTAATGTAGTATGAGAGTTGTTTTCCCTATTTTTTTGGTCTGTTTTTATGGTTTATCACTATTTGTGTATTGTCTTTAAGGCTTTGTTTTACTAGTTTCAATATGTGAAGCACTTTGGCCAATGGCAGTTTTTAAATGTGCTGTATAAATACAGTTGACTTGTAGGGACAGACTGAGAGCATCGTGGATTCTCAGTTGAGTAGATTTGTTTCCATCACTCACTGGAGGAGAGTTTGTTGTAGCTGACGTCATGGCCTCAGTCTGTCTGTTTTATGGCTGTTTCAGGTGATTAAACACGTTTGTAGCATTAGCTCCTCCATGCCGCCTTCTGCCTTTGTTGTTATGTTAAGGACTCACAGGCATGTTTAATAGTGAGTAAATTACTCACAGAAATACTTTATTTGTACGTGGCACTAACTTTATTAATTGCCAAGTGACGAACATTAGTCAGTGTGCATTGCCAATGCAATGCACACTATTGTGATTCGTTTCCCATCCAAGTCATGTCCACTTTCGAACGCTTCTCCTGCATACTTTGTCCTASAGCTGCCATTGTAATTTATATCTTTAAAGCTCCTGTGCCAAATGATGGCTATGCCTTTTGGTGCCTGTACAACTTATAGTTTTTGAAATATTAATGTTTAATAAATTATAATGGGAGACAATGGAGCCTTGTACTGGTCCAATACTGCCCCCTGCTGCATCTACTCAGTATGGAACTGCACCATAGTTTAATAATTATATTTACTTTCAATTATTGCAGTGATTACAATATATTACTGTCTTATAAGCATAAACATCTTATATAATATTGCTATATTGTTGTAATATTATGCAGTTCTGTGTCAACGATCCTCATTGGCAATGCTGCCTCTTTCTACACACATAGAAAACAACACTGGGATTGTACTTTCTCCCAGCACCAATGGTCTCATGGTTAATGCCATAGCCTTTCATGTGGGAGATCTGGATTCAAATCCCAGCTACAGTAACTTTAACAAAAAATTTATTCAAACTTCATATTGTCACACAATTACCCTAATTACAAACACCTGCTGACAGCCACAAGCTGGTACTTGATTAGAAAACACATTTGAACTTGGTCAGTTCATTCTGCAAGTCCATTGCTGCAGGCAAAGGCATGCTACAAGGCAATGCACACTTGTTTTTACATCGTAAAATCCCGTGTCTTTTTAATAACAGTTTTTCTGATGATTTGTAGCACAATACAATTCTGTACAACCTAAATTTGAAGTAAAATGGAACCACTCAAAAATAGGACAAGTTAGGTGTTTACATTATTTAATGAGCGTATCAGTTATTTATTACTGTGGTGGTTTTATGTTTGTTTGGGTAGTTTGCTGAGCTTCAAGGCTTTCTTAATGTTCACTACTATAAATAATTTGATCCGGTTGTTGAATCTTTCAAACCCTTTTCTGTTTGTGTATTTTCATTAATATTTTGCAGATAACGCTGTTAAACAGAGAAGTTAGATTATTTGAGGCAGACTTCATGTTTTCTGTTTGGATGTATTAATTCCTGTTTTTCTTCCTCCAGCTGGATAATGTGGATGAACAGGCAGCACAGATCCGCAGAGAACTGGACGGCAGGTTACAGCTGGCTGAGAATATTGCCAGGGTGAGATATAAAACTATTTATCAGTTTTTACTTTTTATTTAGACATGGGATAACACTAGTGCTTTTCTTTACAGTAAAAGTCAAACACCAACCTCAGTTTAGTGAAAAATAATTACTGAGCAGCGTATGGGCAGTCAAATAAATCAGGTTATAAACTAAAATTATGTTTAATGTTTTTATAGAGAGGATTTCAGAAAAGAGTTTTAAAATAGGCAGATTTTCAGAAAAAATGTTTACTTTGGCTTTTTGCTTTATAATTTAAAGCAACTAATTTCAGAAAATCTTAATCGTTTAGACCTTAAACTTTAACTGAATTATAAAATAAATTGTATTCTAAAATCTTAGTAGGCATGTAAGAAAAAACATTTAATATCATTTCCTGCATTTGTTTAAGTATTTTGTTCCAAAAATTAGGAATGCATTTGTTTTTATTTTTTCATTATTCTTGCACATTGTGCTCCATCTTTTTTTCTCCAGAACCAAATTCTAGATTCTTATTTTTATTTTTATTTATTTTTCCTAATTTTGAGACTCCAACAGTTAGAGTCCAGTGAGATCCTGGTTACAGAGCCAACAAAACTGCTGATGGTTCTGTTGTTTCGAACCCACACTTTTTTACAACACCTGGACAGAAGTTAGTACATTCACAACCCCCTGCTGCTAAAACCCAGCTGACTGCAGAGATGATGGTGGCCTTTCAACACAATCCCTCCATTATTCCACAGCTCTAATGTTTCTACAGGAGAAACAGCCCAGTTCCTACAGATTGTCACACCAAAAAAACACTCACCATCATCAGAAGAGCTGAAGAGAGGATGTTTCTCTCGCAGCAGTTTTAACAGTTTGACCCGACACAAAGCAATCATCAAATCCATGCACCTCTCTGTTTTCAGTCCTCCACCTCAAAGGTCATAATGATATGTTCCAACTGCAGCAGATGGCAAAAACAGATGAGTAAAATAATAATAAAAACAAGCTCTCTGTTTTTTCTAAATGATAGGATGAAAGGGGATGTATCACCTTTCAACGTTTAACCATTCAGGCTCTGCAAACCACTTTACCATTTTTTCTTTTTCTCCCATTCACTTCTGTTATCTATTAAATACAACACTTCTATATTCTCAGTCATACAGTATGTTCATGTGCAGATTGGCAGTGGAGGGACACTTTAGTAAACTGCAGGGGCTGGGCTTCCAAAATTAAAACAAACAAAGCTCCTAGAGAAGATGTTTTTCTTCCCAGCTGAGGAGCATTCTCTGTTCAGAACTGAGAGGTGTGGAGCTGCATGAGACTTTCACTGAACTGATGCCTGAAATTTAGGAGCAAACAAAGTAGACTCATCTCATTTCATCTCTAATAATTTTGTCAAACATTTGAAACAATTATTTGATTTATTTTTATTTATACAGGTGATCTCATTGAGACAAGACAGCATTTACAATATAGTAGAGACCTGTAACACATAATATCATCTACACAAAAATCATGAACTTTATGTTGATTTTTAAAGAGATAAAAGTAAACTAACCTAATCTAAAAACAAGAATAGGCTTGAACGATTGTTTATCCTTTTTTTTTTTTTTTTTTTTTGATGTGTAATGTATCCCATTGGGATCAAACTGACAGTTTCAGTTCTTGGTGCAGTGAATTCCAGGAAGATGGAGCAGAATAGGAAAATACCTTTTTTCCCCCCAAGTTCTATGTAAACTGACAGGACACTGAAATCCTGAGAGAGTAGGCAGACTGTACTGTCTTTATGACATCTTAAAATGTAGATACAGAGGCAGCAGGCAGAGGATGGATTTGTAAATAGAAGGAAACCAATGTCTGCGTGTAGATAATGAAGGCCAGTTTACCACTGAGTACAGGGTACAGTGGTCAGTGAGCGGTTTGCATTTTGTTCTAAATTGCAGCGCTCCACGATAAGCAATGTCCTACAAATTCAGAGAGCTGGCTGGTTCAAGTAAACAACATCACCATAGTCTAGTCGTGGTATGAAGGTTGCAGACACAAAATGTTAGAGAGCCACAAGAGGGAAATATGAATTCTTGTGGAAAATCCTAGTTTTAGCTTCAGTTTTTTCAAAATGTGGTCAATGTAACATTTGAAGGAGAGCTTTTGATCAATGACAACACCAAGATATTAAAGGTGTCTACAAACTCTACAGCTGAGCCATTAAAGTGCCTGTGACATGCCAATCCTCTGAATACAAAATGTCAAAGAAAACATTTTTATAAGTAAGAAACTTGTCACATAATGGCATTTTTTCTTTTGAATTTGGCTCCATGAAAGTGAAACAGGAAGGGACATCAGAAAGGAACTGCAGGCACTCAAAAACCATTGTCACTGAATGACGATAGATTATGGTGTCATCAGCATATAAATGCAAACTGGCTTCAGTAACATTTTGCCCAACATTATTGACATAGACTGAAAACAGTAAAGGACCCAGAATGGAACCTTGTGGGACACCTTTCATAATTTTCAAATACTGTACCTTGATGATGAACAACTGTGTTGTACACACTGATGTCCAGACAGGTCATTTAAAAACCAACGGACAGTTTGCTCTGAAAGATCAATTTTTGAAAGCTTCTGACAGAGGATGGAAATATTTACTGTGTTAAAGGCCTTTTGACAAGTCAGTAATAATTAATTTATAAACGTAAATATTTTACTGAAAGCAGGAACAATTTTTTTATACTTGAGTCAGCTTTGTTAGCAGCTGAGCTTGGGGTGTCTACAGTCATTCTTTGAATCATTCTTTGAATCAGCTGTTAGTTATTTAAATATTAGAGCATGTCTCTGGGCAGAAAACAACTTGCATTTTCATTATTATTGTTGTTGACATAAAGAAACCTAATATGCTGCAGGAAAGGCGATACCCAAAGTTCATCTCTGCTGACATGGAGGTTCTGTATGTGGAGGAGCTCCGTTCATCTGTCAACCTGCTGATGGCAAACTTGGAGAGCCTGCCTGTATCCAAAGGAGGTCCAGACTTTAAACAGAAGCTCAAACGCTCCTCCATGAACAACTCTTTCCTGGACTTGGGGGACGAAGGAGACATCCTGTCCAAATCAGATGTTGTGCTGTCCTTCACACTGGAGGTTAGTTTTAGCATTAACTGGATAACTTCTCTAACTTTTATTTAACTTGCCAGTTTTATGAGTCTGTTAAAGGAGACCAATTATGGGTCCTAGAATTTTTTATGGTATGTCTGTGGGCTATCCAGACCATGTTCATTCAATTTAATGCACAAAATAATTCTCAGATAATAAAATTTCCCATTTTTTAGTTCTGCCTGCTCTGACTTCTGTTCAGAAGAGCTGTTTATGTTAATGAGCTCTGTTGGTAACGCCCTCCAAAAATCTGTTGACATTAACTCCGCCCTCCAAAGCCAGTGTTTACGTTAGCATGGCTAATAATAGCAGAAGCTCCGTTGTACAACCATATGAGACCCAGAGGCAGAGTCGTGGTCGCAGCTTTTTTGTTTTCTCCCCCTCCTCTGCTCTGCGCTCACTCTGCATGCTGTTACCAGAGCAGGGAGCAGCAGCGGTCAAAATACCTCARAAACTCAAACAAATAGGCTTTAACAAGGCTTTAATAAGCTAAACAGTAGAGGTACATGAGAAAATGTGTTCATAACGAACGAAAAGAAATAAATAATTAAATAGTATCCATGCCAGTCTTGAACCCTGGTCTCCCACTCTCTGGTCCAACACTCTACCCATTGCCCTATTGGAGGCTTGTTGTGAAATGAGCTGCGCATTACACAACAATAACCGTGATGGCTTTTTATACTGAGGAGGTGGAGTTTCACCCGGGGGTTGCTAGGTAAGGGGCTGAACACAGGTTCTGGTGGGTTGTCGTACGGCTTGTGACATCACAAAATGACGTAAGTATAAAACTTGTCATTAATATACATTAAAAATACATTTACTTACAGTAAATATGCCCCTGGGTGCATTTTTTTGGTCCTAGGACTGTTTTTGTTAAGAAGTACATACCCAAAGTTGAGTAAAAAAAGCTTTAAAAAGTGAATTTTGCATAAAAGGTCCCCTTTAAGAAAAATGAAATTAGTTAGTTTCAAACTGCAGCGTTGGGGACCCATTCAAAGGATTTATCACAGATTGCCTCTGAGCGGCTGATTATGTTCCTCCCTTTCTGTATACTATGACATAATGTCCCCATGTGCAGGGCCGGATTAACACTTCGCCGTACCCTGGGCAACAATATTAAAGGGTCCCATCATCACGACCCCAGGATTACCAGTCTGGCAAAATGCAGAGTAAATTATTGCAATATATAGTAAATATACTCAATACTTCAGATTCTAAGTGTATTTTGATGTACAAATGCTCATAGAACTACAAACACACTATGTCATCTTGTCAAGGACACTCCTTCACATGATGCTATGAAAACGAAACACATCAGTATAATCTGGTAAACATGACCCACTACACTGAGATTGAGGGAAGTGTCCTCCATTTTCACAAAAGCAACACTTGACATTACACAACCCTATCAGTCACCTGACCCACTTCATGTGGACTGACCAATGAGGAGAAGATCTCAACTCACGTTCACAGTGACAGGCAGCCTCTGTGCAGCACAAGAGCTCCAACAGACAGTTTAACAAAAGCAGGAGAAAACCAGATATTTTGCTGGTGCCTTCATTCAAGGGTGTAACAATCATCTCAGAAGTGAGGGGGACACATTTTTTAGAGGTCTATTGAGTGATTTATCATCCTCTCTTATTAAATCACACTTCTCCTTAGTGGCTAAAACACATATAATTACTGACAGCCACAGTACAGTTCCACTGACTGACTTTAGTTCTTTAAA